TTTCAGGAACATTATTGGATATTTCCTCTTCCTGTTTTATTTCATTCCAAGTTTCTGGTTTATGATATAAACTGTCTATAAAATAAAAGATATAAAACTTATTATATTTTATTTCAAATTATTTATTATATAATATTATTTTAATAATAATTTAATGATGAAATAACTAACTTTTGTGTATTTCTGAATCACCAGTTTCTACATCTTTTAAAAGATTCATGTATTCATCCACTTTATCCTGGTGATGTTGAAATTCTTCCTTTAAAGTTTGTAACTCTTCATCTATTGATTATATTTACTAAGAATTAGAGGTATAAATTAAAAATGTAAGTAATTTTGCAAAATACTTACGAGTAAAACCTGCCATTTCAGCTTTAATCCATAATTTATCTAATCTTTTGTCTTTGAAGACATTTCTGGTAATATAATTAGTACCATCATTTAAAGCTTTATGTTTTTTTAGTAATTCTGGATCTTCTGTATCATCAAAGTGTTCTAATAATCCATAAGTGCTCATAATTCCTTCAAAAAAAAAAAATATTTTAAAAAAAGTAATATTTTATATATTTTAAAATTGTTTTTTATATTTTAAATTACCAATTAGCTTTTTCCTTAATCGTGCTTCTTCTTCACCATTTGGATCTTTGCCATCAGACTTAAAATGTTTATATGCAATTTCTTCTTTATCATGGATTTTCAGATCACTAAATATTGATTGCAATTTTGTATCTGTCAAACGCTATAAAAAAATTAATTTTTATATATTTTTTATTTTATATATAATTACATATATTTTTATAATATATTAATATTTACATTTTTTGCTTTTATCCATAATATATTTAACTTTGCCATGCGAAATGGTTTATCTAACTCACGGAGAGAGGTTGGAAATTTTAAAGGATCTTCATATTTTGGTTTATTTGCTTCTATAGAATATTTATTAAAAGCTATAGTTGTATAAAATAACAAAGTGCATAAACTTATTGATAAACAGGTACTGCTTAAAAATGCCATAATTTTCTACTTTTATCTATTTTTACACAATTATGTGATTATTTTCTGACGTATGCACATAACTATCTCCTAAAATTTATAAATTTATTTAATCAATTATTTTATAAAAATAAATAGATATTCAAAAAATAATTTCCGGTTTTTTCGATTAATTTTTAAATAATGATTAAATTTTATTTCTATGATTATAAAAATATTATATAAAATACAATACAAGAATATATATGACATATATATATATATAAAAAAACAACCATACCTTTTTTTTTTAACACTTAACTAGTGTCATCTCTGAAAAGTGCTGAAACTTGTCACATATTGTTACCGACTGCAAAATGAATTTGTTAATGGTTTTTGATTAGTACTACCATCTTTTTGAAAAATATTGAAACTTTTTATACTTAATTATCAACAAAAAATGAAATGATTAATCACAGGTTTAATAAAATTAAGAATAAAGAATTCTCTTATATCTAATTTATGTTTTAATCATATTTAATTACAGGCGAGAAATAGAATTAATATGATCTTATAAAATAATGTGATTTTATAAGACTTTGTTATAATAAATACTAATTTCCGAAATATCTCAAAAAAAAATCAATATTTTTTATATCTATGCTATAATCTAAATATATATACACAATTAAATCACTTAAAAAATATATAATTATATATTATATTAAAAAATATAAAGTTAAAATATGTGTACTTTATGTATAAAATACGTATATTTCATAAATTTAAAAATGAGAATGTCACTTGTCATCTTAATAAAATTTTTACTTACGAAAAATATCAAATTTTATTATATTTATAAAGCTTTTATTTTAGACAAAACAAATCATTGTATATATTAATATAATTTTTAATAATATTAATAATTCAATAATTAATATAATTTTTCTTAATATATAATATAATATATTCTTAATATATCTTTTAAAATATGTTATGCTTCATTTGGCGCCATTAGTCACGTGATTTTTGTATAGTTAGTTACTTGTGAAATGTATACTTACATATGTACATAATTTAGGAAGAAGTAGAGTTAAGAACCATGATAGAATATAGTGGGGATTGTATATGTATAAACTTAAATGACGGATAGTAGTTCAAGCTAAAAGTACGGAGGGAAATAGAACGTTTCGTAGCGAAATATAAAGTTTTATATATATATATATATATATATATATTATTA